CTTCAACTGCATGTTTAAAACTAATATCAATAACTTTACCAAATGAACAGTTGCAATATTGATAACCACCAAGTTATATAGGTGTTTCATTTTTTCTGATTTAGTGATAGGCCTACTCATTACCAAAAGGGACAGAGCATCATGCAGCCTTTATAGCATTAAATGACCAAAAAGAAAAAAGAATAAAAAATAACATTTGTCACGATAAGTTAGATTACATAGGTTCAGTATATAAAGAAAATCATCACTTAATTATCATTACTCTTCTTCAGTGATAGAGCTTGGTGATGTTTAAAACCGTTAAACACTGCTACCAACTGTTCAGGAGGATTATTWCACCCCTAAAKGTTGTTTCACTGTGGAAKGGGTGTGTACAGCAGGGTGGCCAATGGGGTGGCCATATATTTRTCTGTGGTGGMCATGGCCRCCCCTGGCCACCCCTGGCTCCGCCCCTGCCATCCWCTACATTCCAGWAAGTTGAAAAGAACTTATCAATCATTTTTATGCCTGATAATATGCATCTAGGCGCAGTGCGTTTGACTCCTCCCCCGGGATGCAGAGCTCAAGCGACCGGCCCAACTCGCTGTCCTTTRACCAGGGAAAGCACTGAATCTGCAGAATGGAGATCCAGGCTGTAGSYGGTAGTTGCCCCAGATGTTGCTAACARTTGCTAACGGAGTGTTCCAGGTCTGCGCAGACATGTTTCAAACTTTAATCAGCTGATATCTCTGTGGTGCGATTAACATTTACTGAAACTTTTGTGTGTTTTTAGTTTGGTTTATTTGACAACAGGAGAGGGGAATATATTTAATCTTAGAAAACCAAAATCCAACTAACCAACTGGTAAAGTGCAGTCACAAACTAATGGTCARAAATGATGCTTGAAATAGATGATATTCAACAAAAATACAAATGGTTTGTCTTAATTGAATAACAAGCAGCATCTTCATAGACATTCCGCATTCTCAGATTTTACTGCATGTAAACCTAAATGCCCAGAATTTTTTCTATTGTGTAGAGTACAATATGCAAAGAAGGATACTTTTGTCTTCAGTAAATACTATTTACACTAAGCACCTAAAGTTTGAACTTATCTTTAGGTCTGCAACAAATCCTGCAGTTAATTAGACCCACTGTAATTGTGTGTGATAAARTACTGTTACCATGTTGATCCAGAAACTCCTCCTATGTAGAGCAAAGTGTCCAGAAGACCCTCTTTTTCCATCTGATAAAGGGAGCCCACCAGACTGACAGCTGCCCTCTGACCCCCACCAGATGCCAACAAGGCAATGTGTGGAACTGAATCCTGGGTGGAGAGATGATACAGAAATAATCTGTATGTTTGCTTTGAAGGATTTTGTTTTTGAGATGGTTGTGAGTAAAAGGAGAAGACCATAATGGTGACAGAGTTACACTGAAAAATCAGCAAATTAGTCATGATTTTACACTTTTACAGATTTAAATCTGGAGAACAAAATTTCAACAAAGGAAAACAAAAACTAACTAATGAAATTGGGCTTACAAAGATGATTCTCCCAATTTAATATTTTGTTGCACAAGCTTTTGATGCAATCAGTGTAATTCAAATTCAAATTCAATTCAAAAATACTTTATTGATCCCAGAGGGAAATTAGGTAAATTAAATTAGATAATCAAGTGATTTCTGAGTTATCTACACCTGCCAATAAGTACTTTGATCCACTCCTTGTGAAATAACTTCTTACTGGGAGTCTCTCAAGTAGTCACGAAAGAAACAAGTTTAGTGCTTTCTTTACAGAGAGGCAAAAAAGAAACTAAGTGTGATTCTTACCACGGTACAATTGATGCCTTCATTACAGAGTGCCTGYAGAACTGCATGCTTCCTCTTGTTAACATACTCCTGTTCACCAGCACACAGTGACAGGGACTGCCGGATGGGATTCTGCAAGTAATCAGAAAACACTCATTTCACACTAGTTTAAAGCTGATTCTCAAACCAGACTTTAGTTGAAAGCAAAGCTCATGACTTGTTTCAACTCTACTCAGGCCGTTCAAACCTACTGCAATATTTTCTATAAGGCAAACGCAGCGCAGCAATGTGCAAAAAGGTTAAATGGAGCCACAAAAACACTCACCATCTTCTGCCACAGTTTCCAAAACATGCCACAGCTGACAACTGCCACTCACTTCCGTCTCCTCTGTCACTTTTGCGAGTATCCCAAACGATCGTTCAGCATGGAAAGTATGGCAAGCTATTTTAGCATTTAATCGGTTTCGTCTGACTAGCTGTAATTACATTCTAGATATCTAAAAATGAGTTTTGACTAACTGCATTTTGACTATCCGGAATGTTAATTTAAGATATCTGTATTAACATTCTGAATAGTCGATTCAAGACATCTCAAATAGGTATTTTGACAAGTCAAAAAATATAATTAGAGATATTTAAATAACAAATATGACCAGTTATAATTCAATTTCAGATATCTGTAATGGAAGTGTCGTGAATCCAACTATATGCTAAAATGGCTTGCCATACTGATTCAGCGGAGATTCATTATTATTACAACATACAAAAATCCTAGCGCAAAGTTAAAGTGGATTGTAATGTAATTTGTAGAGTGAGTGAAGTGAAATTTTTGGGTGTAATTATTGATGAAAACCTGACCTGGAAATCTCATCTTGATTATCTGAAAACAAAAATAGCAAAATCTGTTGCTGTACTGTATAAGGCAAGAAAATTGTTTAACGAAAGAGCACTGCTTATATTGTATAATGCTATAATTGTTCCTCATTTGACTTATTGTGTTGAGGTTTGGAGGAAGGCATGTAGAACTGCTTAAATATTCTATTTTTATTTTACAGAAAAGAGCCATTAGAATCATCACAAGAAAACATTACAGTCATCCATCTGACATATTTCATCAATTAAAGTTACTAAAATTTTATGAACTGGTTGACCATGGAATTTTACAGGTTATGCATAGGGCTCATACAAATGCTTTACCTCGAAATATTCAATCATTTTTTTTATCAAGAGAGTCAGTAATTATAAATTAAAAGGACTAGAGATGTTTGTGAAGCCGATAATTTGGTTAAACTTAAAGGAACGATGTACGTATGTTCAAGGAGTAAAACTGTGGAATGCCTCTTCTTCTTTCCTTTTTTAACTCTATAGAACAACACGCACCAACAGTACATCTGGGGGTGGGGGTGTGGGTGTGGGTGTCAGGGTTTTATTCCCATCCCGTTCCCCGACTGCCATTTGGGGAGGGGGTCCTGAAGAAGGGCGGACCGCCA